TAGCTTCAGTGAAAAAAAGCAAGTTTCACAGGAAATATACCCCCTACATCAGCTTATTTATTGTCATAACTCAGGTTCTTTTGGTAAAACAGCAAGAAGTTTGGCTGAATTAGCTGTCACTCTGCACTAACTATTTTCTGTTTTCCTAGATCCATTTTCAGCCATTACATCTGCTGCTTGGAGACTTGGGAGGCTTTGGCAGGAGTTCAGAGGGCAGGATGAGGCTGGGTCAGGGCATTTCTCTACCCTTTCAAGGTGACACCAAGGTTCTGACACTAGCAGGGTCCCTGCACACCACCATTCCTCTTGGCTCCAAATTGCACAGGGCTCTGGGAGGGAACGACTTCCTACTGTTGCTTCTTCTGATGCCCCAATTTTCCTTCTTGCTTTGCTTCACTCTGCCCTCATCTGTGTACATTTAATAGATTTTTGTCAAAATTCCATCTGGGAAAGACTTGTTTTCTGCTGGGATCCAGTCAGATAATATTCTCCAGTAAGTACAGTTGAAACTCCTCTAGGGCATGGTTACCACAATAAACCAGATCTAAAGCTACCAGATACGCATGCTGTTTTTTCCAGATGGTTTTCAGACTTTCTTTCTTCTTTCTTTTTCTTTCTTTCTTCTTTTTCTTCTTTCTTTTTCTTTCTTTTTTTTCTTTCTTTCCTTCGTTCTTTTTCTTTCTTTCTCTTTTTCTTTTTCTTTTCTTTTCTTTCTTTCTTTCTCTTTCTTTCTTTCATTCTTTCTTTCTTTTTCTTTCTTTCTTTTTCTTTCTTCTTTCTCCCTTTCTCTCTTTCTTTCTCTTTCTCTCTCTCCTTCCATCTCTCTCTTTCCCTCCCTCCCTTCCCTCTCCCCTCCCTCCCTCCCTCCCTCCCTTCCTTCCTTCCTTCCTTCCTTCCTTCCTTCCTTCCTTCCTTCCTTCTTTCTTTCTGACAGAATCTCGCTCTGTCACCCAGGCTGGAGTGCAGTGGTGCAATCATGGCTCACTGCAACCTCGACCTTCTGGGCTCAAGCAATTCTCCTGTCTCAGCCTCCAAGTACCTGGGACTACAGGGGTATGTCATCACATCCAGATAATTTTTAAAAAAATTTTGTGTAGAGACAAGATCTCACTATGTTGCCTAGACTGGTTTTGAAATCCTGGGCTTATGCAATCATCTTACCTTGGCTTCTCAAAGTGCTGGGATTAGAGGAATGAGCCAACATGCTTGGCCCCTTTCAGATATCTTTATCACCATGCCCACTTTATTAAAATGTTGCAAAAATAAGCTGAAATATTACTTGTGAGTGTGGGGCTCAATTAAATTTCCCCAAATTCCCCTCAGTGTGTATTTCTGATTAGGAAGTGTCACAGAGGAGATTCTCATGTGAGATTAGAAGGAAATGAAGCAGGAGACATTTTTGTAGCTTATGCACATTGTCATTTTTTTTGGATCTCCTTGTTGGTGTAACACAGCACCCAGGCCTTCAATTGCTCCACCTTCCCCAGATCCTCCTTCACCTTTTCTGACTGCTGGCCCAGGCATGTGTTTAGCTCCTTCATGAAGGATCTCAGATTCTGCAGGACACCCACACCAAGACCCGAGGCAGTGGGAGCTGCCATGGTCCCAGTTTGCCCTGTGAGCTCTGGCTTATTCTTGCTCCCTCATCCTCTTGGCATCCATCTTTCTTCCCTGCATCAGTGACAGCCATCCCCACAGTGCCAGCATCAGCCATAAGGACAGACACCAACCTTACAGAGTGTGCTTAACCAGCTCTGACTGTGGAGGGTCAGAACTGAAATACTGTTTGTTCCTTTTGTACCTTCCCTTTCACAGTTTAAAGATGCCGCTTCATTGCATTCTAGCTTGAATATGACAATCTCATCCTTATATGTATTAAGCTCCTTTTTTGGACTTTTATGTTAGGCAAAAGATATGAACAAATATTTCACCAAAAGGGAAAGAGGGATGGCATGTAAGCACATGAAAAGATGTTCAACACTATTAGTCACTAAGGAAATACAAATTAAAACCACAGTCAGATATCACTACACTCCTATTAGAACAACTAAAATTAAAAATAACATTAATAGAAAAGGTCACATATTATAATTCCATTTTCATGAAATGTCCAGAATAGGCAAATCTATAGAGACAGAGAGTCTACTGGTGGCTGCTAGGGGATGAGAGGAGGGACAGGGAATGGGGGATATGGATATGGTTTTGTTTGTGGGATGATTAAAGTATTCTGGAATTAGATAATGGTCATGGATACACAGCTTTTCATACTAAAAACAGCTGAATTATACACTTTTAAAGGGTCTATTTTATGGTGTGTGAATTTTATCACAATTTTTTAAAGTAGTGATAATATTAAATGCTGCCAAGAATACAGAGAAACAGTATCTCTCATACATTGCTGGGACAAATGTAAAGTGGCATAGCTACTCTGGAAAATAATTTGGCAATTTCTTATAAAGAAAAGCATGTACTTGCTATATCACCTGGAAGTTGCACTCTTAGGAATTTATCCCAGAGAAATGAAAACTTACACCAAAATCTATACACCAATATACATAGCCATTTTATTCATAATAGCAAAATATTGCAAACAACCCAAATTTTCTTCAATTGGTGAAATGGTTGAATGAACTGCCAAATCCATACAACAGAAAGCTACTTCCTAATGCAAAAAACATTAACTACTTTTTTTTTTTTTTTTTTTCTTTTTGAGATAGGGTCTCACTTTGTGGCCCAGGCTGGAGTGCAGTGGCAAAATCTCAGCTCACTGCAACCTCTGACTCCTGGGTTCAAGTGATTTTTCTGCCTCAGCCTCACAAGTAGCTGGGACCACAGGTGCAAGCCACCACACCGGCTAATTACTTGTATTTTTAGTAGAGATGGGGTTTCCCCTTGTTGCCCAGGCTGGTCTCAAACTCTTGGTCTCAGGTGATCTGCCTGCCCCAGCCTCCCAAAATGCTGGGATTACAGGCCTGAAACACCACGCCTAGCCAAAAAACATAAACAACTGATGCATGCAACAACCTAGATGGACTTCAAGCCCCAACATGCTCAGCAGAAAATGTCACTCTCAAAAAATTCTGTACAGTAATGATTCCATTTATAAAGCATTCTTGAAATGGCAAAAGGATCGAGATGGAGACAGTTTAGTGATGGCCAGGACACAGAGAAGTTGGGGGAGAGGTGGAAGAAGGTGAGGGCCAGGTGCAAATATGAAGAAGTATGTAATGGAATCATTCTGTTTCTTGATTGTGGTGGTGGTTACATGAATCTAAATATTTGAATAAAATTGCATAGAACTATTCACACATCCATAATAGTGAAGGAGTGCTTTTATTAATGGTGAAAAATCAAATAGGTGTAGCTTATTTAACAGTAATTTGCTAATATCAATTTTTGTATTTTTGTATCAACTTTTGATATTGTACAGTTATGTAAGATGTCACCATTGCAGGGAAGGGTACACAGGACTCTGAGCTATTTGTGCAACTTCCTGTGAGTCTATAATTATTCCAAAATAAATAAAGTCAGGCATGGTGACTCATGCATGTAATCCCACACTTTGGGAGGCCAAGGTGGGAAGACTGCTTGAGGCCGGGAGTTCAAGACCCTGTTTATATATATATATAATTTTTTTTAAAATTAGCCATGCATGATGGCCCACATCAGCAGTCCTACCTACTTGGGAGGCTGTGGCAGGGAGGTTGGAGGACTGCTTGAGCCCGGGAGCTCAAGGTTACAGTGAGCTAGAATTTGCTCTACTGCACTCCAGCCTGGGTGACACAGTGAGACCTTGTCTAAAAAAATAAAAAAGAAAAAAGAAAAGATTTTAAAAAGCTCCACATAATTGCAAGGTTATATTTCCAGGGAATAATTTGAGTTTATAAAATTCCAAAAGATACACCCATAGGTGAAAATTATTTTAAAATAAATTATTAATATGGTATTGCAAACCAGAGAGGGAAATAAGTACTATTATTTCTTCAGTAAATGGTATTAGAACAACTGGCTAATCTATGGAAAAAGAAAATAAAACTGTTGTATTTTTCATTTTCTTCATCAAAATAAGTGGTGGGATGTAAATTTCAAAATTGGTATTTGGTAAATATCTGTTGAGTTGGATCAGTGATTTAAATATATAAAAGACATAGAGTTTATTTGTTGTTGTTGAGAATTATGGCTAACACAATCTAAAGACAGTGGGTGTTAACTTCTCCTTTTGGAAGCCTCCAGCTCTAGGGTAACCACCTTCCCAATAGGCACCTGAGAAGCGCCAAGGCAGAAATATCACTATCAACAACAACATTCCCCTTTGCCTATGTAGGATAGCCAGGAGAGAATGTGGCTTCTGAGGGAAGTCCAGCGTTCTTGGAAAGAAGCTACTCCCCTCACAGAGATGCTTAGAGGAGTCAATGAGACAATGCATATAAAGGGCTTAACGATCTTCCCAGTGCACGGTAAGTGCTCCATGATGGTTAGCTCTTGGAGTGCTTTGTCCACCCAAGGAGTTTAACTAGGAAAAACTCCATCAGATTTATATGTGTGTTTGAGAGAGCATTGATAGCAGGAACAAATATGAGTGGACAAACGTTTGTGGGAAAACAAAACTCTGTGAGAATGCTGAAGATGATTTCAGGACTCAGTAGGTCTGATGGTGAGATCTTTCTAATCAGAAGGAATAGTAAGAGCAAAAATGTGGGAGTTGTCAAAGGGCTGTGGGCATCTTCACAGAATGACAGCCCATTCCCACTGCCTTATTTCCATCCAGGTCCCCTCTCAAACCAGCTGGCTGCAGTGGCCTCCTAAGGTGTGTCGCTTCCTGAAGCATTGCATCTCTCCAGTTCTTTCAAGACATGGTGAGCAGAGAATCTCTTGCAATAGATGATATTCATAATTTCATTCCCCTGCTTAAAGCTTTCCGAGGTTCTTCATAGCTTATGGATAGATAATGTAAAAATTAGGATTAGGATCAGCTAAAAATGGCAGAAACAGCCCATAACAATGGCTTATACAAGACAGAAGTTTATTTCTCTCAGGTAAAGTTACAGAGAGAATCAGCCCAGGTGCTGTATGGTAAACCAAGGTGTCAGGGAGACAGTGTCCTTCTCACATCTTGAACTTGCCTCATAGCCCAAATGGTTGCTCCAGATCTAGCCACCATGTCCATCCTCCAACCATCAGAAAGGAGAAAAGATAAAGAAAAGTCAATCTCCTTCTTTAGGGTCATTCCACAGAAGTTGCACATACTGCTGCCATTTATATCTGCTAACCAGACCTTAGACACATGACCCCATCTAACTGCAAGGGAGGCAGGGATTAATCTTTCTTCTTAATGGAGATGAACCTAGTGAAAGGTCAGGAGGTTATAAGTAAAACAAGAAGCAACAAACAGACATTGGGAGACAACATTGTATCTCTGCCAAAGGTGTCCATTTCTTCAAGGCCTTTGAAATGTGACCTCATCTCTCACCTAGACTATTTCCACTGCCACTGAACTAGTCTAACTGCCTCTACTTTCTAATTCTCCTTAGTCACTATCATCAGTCATCAATTCAAAATACATACTGAATTGAATTACTCTCCTGTCCCACACTCTTTGGCTTAATGGAACATTGAGAGTCCCTGTAGTACCATTTCAGCTTGATCTTCTTCCTTCCTTCTCTTCTTTCCTCCTCTCCTCTGCTGGTTGTTCTCTGAACACACCATGAGCTTTCAGTTCTCCATGACCTGTTTGGTGAAAGACCCTTTTCCAGAATAATCATCCTATAGGCCCATCACCAACCTCTGAAATGGTGCACAGACTTCTAAGCCTACCCCAAATATCATTTCTTTTATAAATTCCTTTTCCATCACACATGTTAAAAGTAATCCACCCCTTCACTGAATAGTCAGTTTCTATGCTGCCTTCCATTGTAATAAATTATACATCTTTAATATTTATTACCACAATTACATTGTAATTTATGTAGTATTCACTACATCTTCTTCACATTTGTGGTCCTGGGAACACCTAGTCACTGAATTTTTACTTAGCAGCTGCCTAATACATATTTATTAAATTGAATTTTTATGTAAGCCTTGAATTTATAGAAGGAAAGGAGAAAAACCTCAAGTCAGCTCTCTTTGGGTAAAGCATTCATTTAAACTGGATTAAATGCTTTATCAACAATCTAGTATTATTTTTTACACAATTCACCCTAAGTCCCATTTGTAATTGTTTTGAGTGATTTGTGTTAATAATACAAAGCTTAACATGGATTTGCATCAGGAAGAACAATTTGTAAGAGCTGGCTATTTTCAGCTCTAACAAGGAAGTGACAATTTTTCAATATTTTAACAGAAGTGTTAAAGCTTATCTCGGTCAAACACTTGCTGGGTCATTTGCCATGTCATTCATGTTATTTAACTTTCTATTTTAACCTCTGGCCTATATGGAAATAAGAAAAAAGTTATAGTTTTAATTGCTGCTAATTTTCTGGCAGAAAATAGAAATGGATATAGTCTCAATGCTGAATAGTTAATGTGTTAAATATGACCACAGGCCTTTTCTGTGTTAATTTTTGTCCATGTTGGCTACTTTTACTAGCTGTTTATTGGGTTCAGACGGGAAAAATATGGCTATAGTATTTGAAACAAACAAAAAGCTCTCAATTAACATTAATAAATTGTCTGAAAATGAACCTCACATTGGCCTTATATAGACATCTCTTCCTGAAAAACAGGACTTCATGCTAGCTCTTTAGTAAGTTTAAGCTATTTGTTCCCGGGTCTGTTCCTCTTCTGCGTACTTTCTGATCTCTTCTTGTGTCCACCATTCTTTTTTCTGAGCTGATTATAATAATCTCATGCACTTTGTATTAACCCCAATCGTATGGGAAGAATTGAAACACCAATCAGAGCTCGGGATCACACATCACTCCAGCTGAATCCTAACCCAGAAGAAAGTTGAGTGAAATATATGGGTGAAATGAAAATAAACTATCAAGCCATTATTTTTAGTTCTAGCTGGGATGGACTTCAGAAGATATTAAGAGCAATGGCCCATATTAAATCAAGTGGAGGTGTCAGAGTTGCCAGGCAGACTGGAGGAAGGGATTGAAAGGCCCAGCAAAGTATGCATGCTAAATAGGGTCTACTATGTGAAACTGGAAACTTATCAACTAAATAGGATTTTTGAATGCGCATGGAGGACTCTATATATGAAGGCAATAAGGAAATTGCTGATAGAGGCCAACAGTGTCATTCAGGTCTGGTGGCTCTCCTCTGTAGATCAGAGTTGATGATAAGAGATGCTGTTTCAGAACTAGGGTTCCTAGTAGTCATGGAGATGATAGGATCCCAGAGGCCACACAGTAGCATGTTACCACCATCAGTGAACCAGCAAAACCACCCTCAGATTCCTGACCACCAGAAACTCTGTGGAATAGTTAAAAGTCCTAGCCAGAGAAATTAGGCAAGAGAAAGAAATAAAAGGCATTCAAATCATAAAGTTAACATTGTCTTTAACTTTATGTTAACTATATGTGAACTATTAAATTTAACTATATGTTAAATTTAACTATATGTTAAATTTAAAAACCCTAAAGACACCAAGAAAAAGCTATTAAAACAAAAAAAATTTTTCAGTAAATTGCAGGATACAAAATCAACATACAAAAATTAGTAGTGTTTCTATATATTAATAATGAGATATCTGAAAAAGAAATTAAGAATACAATTCCATCTACAATAGCATCAAAAAATAAAATAGTAAATTTAGTCAAGAAGGTGAAAAATATGTACACTGAAAACTATTAAACATGATGAAAAAAACTGAAGGAGACACAAGTAAATGGAATGATACCTCGTGTTCCTGGATTAGAAGAATTAATATAGTTAAAATATTCATACTACCCAAAGTGAATTAAAAATTCAGTGAAATTCCTATCAAAATTCCAATGACATTTTTCAGAGGAATAGAAAAAACATTCCTAAAATTAATATGCAACCACAAAAGACTCCAAATAGCCAAAGCAATCCTGAGCAAAAAGAACAAAGCTGGAGGCATCACATTACCTGATTTCAAGATATACTACAAAGCTGTAATAATCAAAACATCATGGTACTGGCATTAAAACAGATACTTAGACCATTGGAACAGAATGGAGAGCCAAGAAATAGATTCACACATTTACTGTCAATTGATTTTGGACAAAGATGCCAAGCCAAGAACACACAATGAGGAATGAACTGTCTCGTCAGCAAATGGTTTTGGGAAATCTGCATACCTACATGCACAATAATTAAATTAGATCCTTATCTCACACCATATACAAAATATCATGCAGCCATCAAAAACAATGAGTTTGGGTCCTTTGTAGGGACATGGATGAACCTGGAAACCATCATTCTCAGCAAACTGACAGAAGAGCAGAAGATCAAACACTGCATGTTCTCACTCATAGGCAGGTGTTGAACAATGAGAACACATGGACACAGGGAGGGAAGCACTACACACTGGGGTCAGTTGGGGGGAAATAGGGGAGGGACGGTGGGGGGTGGGGAGCTGGGGAGAGATAGCAAGGGGAGAAATGCCAGATGTAGGTGATGGGGAGGAAGGCAGCAAATCACACTGCCACGTGTGTACCTATGCAACAATTTTGCATGTTCTTCACATGTACCCCAAAACCTAAAATGCAATAAAATAAATACATAGGGAAAAAAAATAAATAAAATAAATAAAAATACTCAAAAAAAAAAAAAAAAGTGCACTAAGGACTTAAACATATGGCCTGAAACTGTAAAACTACTAGAAGATACCAGAAGAGAAAGCTCCACAAAATTGGTCTGGGCAATAATCTTTTGGCTATAACCACCAAAGCAGGGGGAACAAAAGCAAAAACAGATCAATGAGAATACATCATACTGGAAAGCTTCTGCACAGTAAAGAAAAGATCAACACTTTGGAGAGACAGCCTACAGAATGGAAGAAAATATTTGCACACCATGCATTTGACAAGGGGTTAATATGCAAAACATATAAGGAACTCAAACAATAGATGCTAAAAAACACCTCAAAAAACTCAATATTTAAAAAAACACAAATAATCCAATTTAAAAATAGATAAAGAACCTGAACAGTCATTTGTCATTAAAAAAGTCATACACATGGCCAATAGACACATTAAAAAATACTCAATATCACTAATCCACTCATCATCAGCACATTGAACTCACAATAAGAGATCACCTCACATTTCTTAGAATGGCTTTAATCAAAAAGATGAAAGATAAGTTAGTGAGGATGTGGGGAAAAGGGAACCCCTATATATTGTGGGAACATAAATTAGTACAGCCATTATGAACATTTTTTAATTCTCAAAAAATTAAAAATAGAGCTACCATATGAGCCAGCAATCCCTAAAATTTTGTATTGAAATACTCAAATTTCTTAGAATGGCTGTTATCAAAAAGATGAAAGATTTATATCCAAAGGCAATGAAATCAGTATGTCGAGGAGCTAATCTGCACTCCCATGTTGATTGCAGCATTAATAACAATAACCAAGATATGCAAGCAACCTAAGTGTCTACCAACAAAAGAATAGATAAATAAAATGTGGTATATTGGTACACACAATGGAATACTATTCTACCATAAAAAAAGAATAAAATCCTGTCATTTGGCACAACATGGATAAACCCAGAGGATTATGTTAGGTGAAATAAACCAAGGACAGAAAGACAAATATTGCCTGACCTCACTCATATGTGAAATCCAAAAAAGTTGATCTCATAGAAGTTGAATAATGGTTCCCATAGGCTGGGAGGGTAGTGAGGAGGAGTGGGGATGGGGAGAGGTTCGTCAACAGGTATAATGTTACAGCTAGATAGGAGGAATAGGTTCTGGCGTTCTACTGCACAACAGAGTGACCATGGTTAGCAATAATATATTGCATATTTCAAAAAAGCTAAAAGAGAGAATTGTGAATCTTCTCACAACAAAAAAAAGATAGATATGTAAGGTGATGGATATGCTACTTAACCTGATTTGATCATTTCACAATGTACACATGTATCAAAACATCTTGTTATACTCCATAAATAATATGTGTGATTGTGTGTCAATTGAAAATGAAATAAAACATTAAAAAGGAAAATATGGTATGTATATACCTGCACACACACACACACAAACTGGAATGTTATTCAGCCTTAAAAAAGAAGGAACTTTGCCACAACATGGATGAAAATGGAAGACATTATGCTAAGTGAAATAAGCCAGAAACAAAGAAACACAAATACCACATGATCATACCTGTATGTGGAATTTTTGAAAGCTGAACTCGCAGAAGCAGAGAGTAGAATGGTGATTATCAGGAACTAGCATGGAGAGGGCTGAGGAATGAGGAGATCTGGGACAAAGAATACAAAATTTCAGCCAGTCAGGAAGAGTAAGTTCAAGAGATGTATTGTACAATAAGATAACGATAGTTAATAACAACGTATTATATATTTGAAAATTGCTAACAGAGTAGATGTTAAGTGTTATCACCACAAATAAACTATATGTGAGGCAATGCATTTATTAATTAGCTTGACTTGGCCATTTTATAATGCACTCATATTTCAAAACATTATGTTGTACACCGTAAATGTATACAATTTTAATTTGCCAATTTAAAAATAAAAAAAGAAGCAAGCTCATTTTGATCTCCAAAGGATGCCTTATGCCCCAGTAAGTCCCCAGCCACAGAAGCAATCATTGTTCTGATTTATTCCACCAGTGTAGATTAGTTTTTCATAATCTACAAATTCATATAAATTGAATAGTTCATTTTTAAAAATATAATAGAATGTTCTAAGGGGTTAGATAGATATGTAGCCTCAAGAATATTGCTCAAAATATATAAAATCAAAAGAAAACCAAGGGTAGATGAGCTGAAGACTATGGTCAGCTACTCCAGTAGAAGTCAGGATTCCTTGCTCAGTTTCCAAACCTAAGGTAGTTTTCAAACCCGCTGCAGAACACTCCTCTTGACTGAAAGAGAGGTCAGGTCCACATGAAGAAGAACCCCACAATACCAGGACAAACGTATACAGTAGTGATTCCCCTGGCTATTCCCCAAAAGGTCTATGGCTATACATTAGGGCACCATGCTCTGGAAATGGGAATACATAGCTTTTATGAGGACTGTTAGATAGAGGGTCTGAATTGATGCTGATACCCAAAGAACAAAAGCATATTCATGGACTTCTTGGTAGAGCAAAAGTATATGAGGGTCAAGTAATTAATGGAGTCCTAGCTGCACATATGTGTCCTCTGCTCTACAGATTCACACAGAGATCATTTTCCCAGTTTCTGAATATATAATTGGAACAGACACATGAGGATTTTACAGAACCTCCATATTAATTCATTGACTAATAAAGTAAGAGCTATTGTAATAGGAATGGCAAGTAGAAGACCCTGAAACTACATTATCAGCCCACCACCAATACTATAAATCAAAAGCAATATAACATCCCAGGAGTGACACGGCAGAGTTTACCGTCACCCTCAGAAATTTAAAGGATATAGGGGTGGTGGATTTCATTATAACCCCATATAATTCACCATGCCGGCCCCTAGAAAATCAGGTGAATCAGAGCATGTGACATTGAACTACTACAAACATATCCAAGTAGAAACCTCAATTATATCTGCTGTATTCGATGTGGCATCTTTACTATAGCAGATTAACATTGCCTTTGGTGTGGTTAGTGGCTATTGATCTGCTTCCATTTTACTCTCTATCAATCAGAAGGACGAGAAACACACATGGTGTAGATAACAGTGTACACTCATGGTCTTGTCCAAGCACTATGTCATTTCTCTAGATCTCTGCCATGATAGTGCAAAGGATTCTGGGCCATCTGAACATCCCACAGAACTTTACTTGACATCATGTTATTTGGACCTCAGGAGCAAGAAATGGCAATTATTCTGGACATCTTGTTAAGACATGTAATCTAAATGAAGGAAGACAAACACACAAAGATTCAGCAGTCACACACTTCAATAACATTTTTAGGTGTCAACACTTTGGAATATGCTGAGACATCCCTTCCAAGGTAAAGGACAAGTTGCTATACTTCACACCTTCCTTTATAGGCCATTTTGGAGGCAAAATATATAATTTACTTGGGAATACTGCTTCAACAAACTGTTGGAATAATTTGGAAAACTGCTAATTTTGACTTGGGCCAAGAGAAAAAAGAACTCTGAAGCAGGTTCCTGCGGTGTTCCAAGCAGCTCTGAAGCTTGGCTCCTATGATATAAACTCCCTCTCACCATGGCTGATCTACCTGCTGTTGCTGCTAAATGTCTAACCTTCCAGCAATAAAGATCATTCCTGAATTCTTAATATGGTATCATTCCTTCTTTTTCCCCTCAGCCTTATAGAAGTATAAGTGACACATAAAAATGTTATGTATCTAAGGTGTACGTGTGAAGATTTGATGTACATATACATTGTGTAATGATTATCAAAATCAAGCCAATTAATACATCTATCATTTCATGTAGTTACCTTTTTATGGTAGAAAAATGCTTAACTAGATCTTAGCAATCTTGAAAGCAAATTTCAATTATAAAATACAGCATCAGTTATAGTCACTGTGCTGTATATCACATCCCTAGAACTTACTCCTCTTATTGGTATTCTTCCTTCAGGTGACCAACCAGTTATTTAGTGGCCTATTGTTTATAACAGTTCCATTCAACTCTGAAAAAGAAAACATTTTATCTTCAGTGGGATTGACACATATTCCAGATATGTTTTTACTTTTACTGCCTGTGGTGCCTCAGCTGTCAACACTGTGTGCAAGCTCATAAAGTGTACGACCGACTGACCTGGGATGGCACCTAATACTATCTTTGAACCACAGGACTGCTTTCATAGCAATGAAGGTATGGCATTGAGCTTGTGGCTATGGATCATGCACCATCTGGAAACTGCCATCATGAAAGAGTAGTGAAAGCACCTCTGGAAGGTACAGCGAAAGAGCCAGCTCGCAGAAGGCACCCTGCAAAAGACAGGGCGCTATCCTCAGGTTACGGAATAGACCTTAAGGCATCTGCCACTGTATATGGTGTTGTATTCCCAGGATACGTGGATCTGGGAACTAAGTGGAAGTTGGAATGTCTCACCATCACTCCCAGTGACCCATTTGGGGAATTACGTCTAAAGATCCTGATTCCCAGAGGGGTGATGCTTCCTTCAAGCAGCACAGTAAAATAATCACAAATTGTTTTCCAAAGTGACTGTCCAGGTCAAGTGTGGTGGCTTACATCTGTAATCCCAGCACTTTCGGAGGCTGAAGGAGGCAGATTGCTTGAGTCCAGAAATTCAAGACCAGCCTGGCCAACACTGTGAAACCCCATCCCTACTAAAAATACAAAAATTAGCCAGGCATGGTGGCATGCTCCTGTAGTCCCAGCTACTTGGGAAACTTAGGTGGAAGAATTGCTTGAACCTGGGAGGTGGAGGTTGCAAGTGAGCTGAGATTGTGCCACTGCATTCCAGCCTGGGCGATGGAGTGAGACCCTGTTTCAAAAAACAAAACAACAAAAACAAGCTGACTGTACAAATCACAGTACATTCCCACCAAAAAGTAGACCTCTTCATCAATATTTGATATTATGAAACTCTAAAAAGTGTGCTAATGTAGTAGGTACTCCATGACATCTTATTATTTTAATTAGCATGTCTCTGTATTAATTATATGAAGAACACTTTTCCATGTTTAGTAGGCATTCGGATTTTCTGTACTGCGAAATGCATAATCAAGTCATTTGCCTATTTTTAATTGAGGTTTCTGCCTTTTTTAAAAATCAAATTTCTTACCAAATTATCAATTTGTTTATATGATTGGAAACAAGTTTTGTTGCTGTTAGCTGGTTACATAAGTTGCAAATGGCTTGTATTTTTGTTCTTTTAATGGCATTTTTTTGTTGTTGAATGGAAGTGTTTGTTTACATGTAATTCATTGTACTAATCTTTCCTTTTATGCTTAGTGTTTTTTGTGTCTCATTTAAGAAACCCTTCACCACCCCCCAGGTCATGAAGCTATTCTCCTATATTAATCATTGGATAACTTAACAATTTGTAACATATTAGATCACATATTCACCTGGAATTGACTTTTGTGTGAATTAGGAGTTCAATTTCATCTTTTTCCAGCATGGTACACAATCATCCTAGCACCAGTTATTGGAAAGGCATTTTACTCCCACTGCCCTGCAGTGCAACTTTGTTGTATACCAAGAATTCATTTATGTGAGGACCGTTTTATTTTCTTGTTGGTGAAGTATAGAAGTACCATTGCTTTCTAATATTGATTTTTGTACCCAGCAAACCCCCTTAAATATTTTAAACTGTATTAATGTGCTTAATATATTTATTTTTAGCATTTCAAATGCCTGACCAAGCAAGCTCACAATCTTATTTATTTTATTTTATTTTTTTATTTTTGAGACAGAGTCTTGCTTTGTTGTCGGGTTGGAGTGCATTGGTGCAATCTCGGCTCACTGCCACCTCCACCTCCTGGGTTCAAGCAATTCTCCTGCCTCAGTCTCCCAAGTAGCTGGGATTAAAGGCCCATGCCACCATGCCTGGCTAATTTTTGTATTTTTAGTAGAGACAGGATTTCACCATGTTGGGCAGGATGGTCTCCATCTCTTGGCCTCGTGATTCCCCCACTTTGGGCTACCAAAGTGCTGTGATCACAGGCATGAGCCGCTGTACCTGGCCATTATTTCTGAAATGCTCCACAGCACTTCAAAGGCTCTCATAAATCACAATTTAATTAATAAAATTGATAAATCCATTTCTCTTAAATATTATGCCACTTACACATTTGCTCACATTCTTACTTTTTAAAATGTGAAATCATGTCAATTACATGTTTTAAAAAAATGGAATCATAGGACATCTGTAAGATAGTCTAATATGGCAAACTCTTTTGAATATTATAAACACTTTAAATAAAAGCATAAAAAGATTATTCCTAAGCCTAACATAAAAGTATTCATACCAGTGGCATGATTTAATTTACCATCTTTGCATTTAATTATAAATCTTCAATTTGAAAAGTCACTTGCTTAGTAAAGGAAGCAGCTTTAACATCATAAATTAAAGAAGCTTTAATATCACAAGATCAGATGTTCTGTTTCAAAAGAACTGAGGTTAGCACCTGGAGTAAGTCATTGTTAATAAAGATACAACTTATGACCATAAGGTTACTTACCAATATGACACTTGAGGCTGTGATGGCAACATGGGAGAAGTTTAGGTACAAGATCATATTTTCTGAACCAAAGATGAACACCTGAGTCCTTTTAAAAAACCATCTCTAAGTTACGAGGGAGCTCTAAACCCAAAGTCTTCAGATGGAATTTTCTCAACCTGCCTTTCCGAATTCACAAGTTGAACACCCCAGCCAGTAGCCATTCCCTGGGCACACCACAGGCCCAGTGCTATGCACAGAAGCAGCAAAGTCAGTCTTTGGGAGGGCAGATCCAGGAAAGAAACCTGCATGAAGCCCTGCATGTGGGCTTGGGACTACTCATACTTGAAATTTGTGTTTCAAAACTTGATCTGTGTGTGTTCAAGCCAGGGGCTGGGGAGTAGGGAGCATGGGGGTGTGGACCTAGGTGGGTGTGTCTCCTTGACCCGCCGACTCTGCAGCTCATGGGAGGGTGAAGCTCGTAGGGGAGTTCAAACCAGATCCCTCTAAAGTGAGGGGTGTGGGGAAAGCTCCACTCTTGCCTTGGTCTCAGGGCAGACCTGCACTAAAACTAGGGTAAAATTCCATGTGCTTTTCTTACCTTTTTTTTTTTTTTTGAGATGGAGTTTCGCTCTTGTTACCCAGGCTGGAGTGCAATGGCGCGATCTCGGCTCACCGCAACCTCTGCCTCCTGGGTTCAGGCAATTCTCCTGCCTCAGCCTCCTGAGTAGCTGGGATTACAGGCACGCGCCACCATGCCCAGCTAATTTTTTGTATTTTTAGTAGAGACGGGGTTTCCCCATGTTGACCAGGATGGTCTTGATCTCTTGACCTCGTGATCCACCCGCCTTGGCCTCCCAAAGTACTGGGATTACAGGCGTAAGCCACCGCGCCCCGCCCTTTTCTTACCTTTTTAAGTAAAGTGATTAAGCCAGATAGAAACACCATCCAGCAAATCAAAAATCCAAAAATAGAGATGAAAGGGTATGATGCCAAAGCAGAATTTCACTATCTTGAGGATCCTGAAGACGGGGCTTTGGCTGAAAGTACTTTTATGTTTCCAACAGAATAAATCAGTTCCTCAGACAACTAAAGTGGCTAACTTACTGACACATTATTTGGGCAGTCCTCAGTGGCCGTAATGCCAGAATGCCTTTATAAGAGGGACTTCACAGCAAACATCCACTTAGAATTAGGGAGGCTTGAAACTGCTTTGCACAGTGGCTTACATAAGCTGAAGAAAATGTCAAAAGAATGGGTGGGGAAATGGCACCATAGGCACTGACAAAGATTCCTTTTTTTTTTTTTTTTTTTCCTGAGACAAGAGTTTTGTTCTTGTTGTCCAGGCTGGAGTGCAACGGCGTGATCTCAGCTCACAGCAACCTCTGCCTCCCAGGTTCAAACAATTATCTTGCCTCAGCCTCCCAAGTAGCTGGGATTAACAGGTGCCCACCAACATGCCTGGTTAATTTTTTGTATTTTTATTAGAGACAGGGTTTCACCATCTTGGCCAGGCTGGTCTCAAACTCCTGACCTCGGGTGATTCACCTGCCTGGGCCTCCCAAGCTGGGATTACAGGCTTGATCCACCGTGCCCGGTCAACAAAGATTCTTTAATCAGGTTTCTGAACTTTCTCTTAGGCCCATCTGTGCAATTCCTTGTAAAATCCAGTTTTAGCAAAAGAACTCTGCTAAGTCAGTTTCACCAGAACCCCCATATTCAATAATCTGATCATCCTTGATATCTGATCAGGTTCTTTGTCTTCCACTCTGCCCCAGGTGATGTCTGAACAAGCTAGCCTGTCTTCAGCAAGAATCCTGCTGGGTTGATTTAGCCAGAATCCCCTTTAGCCTTGATATTTCCTCCTAGCAATTTTCCAACCACAGACCCCCACCCTGCTCCTTGGTTATAAATTCCCACTTGCCCAGGCTGTGTTGGAAGTTAAGTCCAATCTCTCTCCCCTACTGTAAGACACCATTACAGTCATTCCTGTACCTATCTTGATGGTTCTGAATAAATTCTTCTTTACTGTGCTTCAAAAAATATCATTGAATAATTTTTCTTTAATAGTAGTTAGTTGGCCAGGCATGGTGGCTCACACCTGTAATCCCAGCACTTTGGGAGGCCAAGGCAGGTGGATCATGAGGTCAGAAGTTCAAGACCAGCTTGGCCAATATAGTGAAACCCTGTCTCTACTAAAAATACAAAAATTAGCTGGGTGTGATGGCAGGCACCTATAGTCTCAGGTACTTGGGAAGTTGAGGCAGGAGAATTGCTTGAATCTGGGAGACAGAGGTTGCAGTGAGCCAAGACTGCTCCATTGTACTCCAGCCTGGGTTACAGAGTAAGACTCCATCTCAAAAAAAAAAAAAAAGAAAGAAAGAAAGAAAAGTAGTCAGCTATGACTGTGAGTGCCAATCTGCTCCACCCTCAAATTTCTTTTTGGTCTTAAGCTACCACAAACAAATGAACAGCAATAAAAAGATTAGACTTTTTCTGCACCGTGGTCTTTTCGGGTCACTGAAGGCAGTATATTTAAACACAGACCCCTAGGGGCTTCTAAGTTAGGAAACATTCATAGGTGAATGTGAAGAAAATATACAAATAAATAAGACTGCAAAAATTTATGTGGAAATTTTAAAATGTGGTTCTGTCTTAGGAAATCAAGTGCAGCTTGTAAAAAATGAAAGAAACCATACATTAACAAGGATGCACCTATCATCACTTCTATACACATACTTTGTTCTAAAAAGCGAAAATGTAACAACTACCCCATGTTGATTGAGAAGTAAGTGGCATTACATTTTCCCTAGGAACCAGACAAATCTTACACTTGCTCAAATTTAGATCTAAAGAAAAGTATAAGCTTAGCTCCTTTCTTATGAGCTCACCTGCAACTTTTTCCCTGGGTAGGCTGTAATGAATGACATCTTTAATTAGAAACCTGAAGTGTTCAATATTTGCATAGGGGGTCAGTCCCATCCATTTCACCTCTTATTTTTAGACTCCATGTTCTAATTGTAATTATTGCTGTTCCAGGACCTCAGCTGAACTGACTCAGCTAGAAAAAACTGTACCATGCAATCCTCTTAGATAATTCACTGAAGGAACTTGAAAACAATGACAAATTAATATATCCATAATTTTGTAAAGTCTTGTCATGGGTCTTCTTCTTTGATGTTAATTCTATAGAACAAAATTTTCTCCCCAAATCCACATCTCTTAGGCTTGAGATAAAGGATGGTAGAGATGTTGAGATAACTAGTTTTAATCCCTGGGGGATCCTTTGAGATTTTTGCTATCTCCTGCCTACCCCATTATTACAGCAATATTCTAATACTGTTAATATTTTACATTTTAATCTATGCTTGTAGGTTTGGAATAGAATCACTTTTTTTTTTTTTTTTTTTTTTTTTTGAGACGCAGTCTTGCTGGAGTGCAGTGGCACGATCTCGGGTCGCTGCAACCGCCTCCCAGGTTCAAGCAATTCTCTTCTCAGCCTCCCGAGTAACTGGGATTAACAGGTGCCCACTACAACGCCCTGCTAATTTTTTGTATTTTTATTAGAGACAGGGTTTTACCATCTTAGCCAGGCTGGTCTTGAACTCCTGACCTCATGATCCACCTACCTCGGCCTCCCAAAGTGCTGGGATTATAGGTGTCAGCCATAGCGCCCAGCCCACATTTTGGTTTTAAATAACATTTGTTTGGTCTGTTTTTCTGTTTCTATTTCAAAGGTAATGCATGATTCAAACCAAATCCCTCTTAATCACCCATCTCATTCTCCCAAGGCAAATTGATTAACATTTCCTTCAATACTTTTCCTATTCTGATACAAGTATGTGTGTGGTTTGTGTTAAAAAAAATAAGATCATATAACGTCTATAACTTCTTTTTCCCATTGAATATAAAATGGATGTCTTTTTTATGCCCATAGGTATGGGCCTCTTAAAAACTACATGTTTTGATTACACCATAATTATGTAATTATTCCTTTTTGTTGGAATTCAAGGTGTTTCCAATCTTTCGCAATCACTCAAGAGGCTATCATGAACATTTATTCATTCATTTATTCCATAAACATTAATTTAGTGCTTATGTCAATCACTGAACTTCATGCTGGGGACAGAGCCATGAACCAAACACCAAAGTCCTTGTCCTCACAGCCTTTATATTCTATGTAAGGAGACAGACTATAAGTATGATAAATAAAACATCATTTATGTATTAACATGTAGTTAAACATGTATGTTAGCAATAAGTGCTAAGGGGAAAATAAAGGAAATAGGGGTTGGAAACACTGGTAAAGGAGGTACAGGTTTACAATTTTAGATAAATTGGCCAGAAAAGGCCTCATTTTAAAAGTGACATTGTGAGCAAGGGCCTAAAGGAAGCAAGGTCCTCTGCCACATGGACATCTGGGGACAGTGCATTGCGGACAGAGGAAATAAAAAGAAAAAACGCTGTGAGATAGAAACATGCTTGTCCAACGTGTTTGGAACAATAGTGAGGCAAGGGCTAGTAGAAGTGACAGGGCATCTTGTTCATGCATCTTTACCCACATTATGATTTGGGCTGGATTTAGCTCAATTTTTTCTTCACTCCCAAAGCCGCTTTCTGCACATGAGGGTTTCATAAAGCTCCCCTGGCTTCAAACTTGTTTTGCTTCCCAATAGACTAAAAATTCAAATAAGACTAAGTTACCTGGCCACTGCTTCCATGTCCAGCCTCATCTAATGTAACTATTTCTCTGTCACTATGTTCCATCGAGTAGTTCCTAGAGTCCTTCCACCTTCTCCCCACTTCAGGGCCTTGGTTCTATGCCTGGAATGTTCTTCCAGAGTTCTTGGCATAGCTGGCTTGTTCTCATTCCTCAGGACGCATGCATGTGTGACCTCTCTAGAGTGACCTCCCTCAAACACCCTCTCCTCAGTGCCTCCCCTCCTTCTTCACTACAGAGAATAACGTTATTCTCTGTAGTGGCACCTGTTTATTCCTTTTACTGAAGTTACAAAAAGTCTTTGGAGAAATATTTTTTTAGACCTCAGACCTCTTCTCACCATATATTTAAAGATGATTTCCCTCTCTTAGGTAAACTGTGAAAATGACAAATTGTGATACTTTTTCCTATGGTTTAAATGCTTGTGTCTCCCCAAAATTGATATGTTGAAATTCCAACTCCAAGGTAGTGATATTAGAAGGTGGGGCCTTTGGGAGGTTAGATCATGAAACCAGAGCTGTCGTGAACGTCATTAGTGCCTTCATAAAAGAGGCCCAAGAGAGCTAGATCCCTGCCCCTTCAGTCACATGAGGACACAGAGAAGGGTAGTCTATTAACCAGGAAGCAGACCCTCACCAGACACCAAATCTACTGGCACCTTAATCTTGGACTTCCTAGCTTCTAGAACTGTGAGGAATAAAGGTTGTTATTACTAAGTTACCCAGTTCATGGCACTTTGTTACAGCAGCCTGAACTAAGATACTTGTTCTCATAAAAATACTACCATAAGAGTAAATTTCATATTAGTGTTAACAAATTGAACATGCATACAATGCTTCAATGTTTCTTTGTAAAATTTCTCCAATGAGATATTGTTTAAAAATTGCACCGGCCTGTGATTTAATGTTATCACTAAAGAACAGAGAGGAACCAGCCTATGAAATCTTAAATGAATTGTAGAATGGAGGCCCATGGCAATCATATCTGCTCAGGAGAAGTTAGAGAAAAAGTACAGAAAATTTAACCCTTGTAGTATATCCCCAATTAGGAGCAAAACCCTCAGTTCTAGATCTGCCCAGATTAATGAAATCCACAATGATTGGAAAAATAAAAGTAGAAGATAAAGACATTTTCAATCACAGAAAAATAAGATCATAACTAGCAAATTTCTTTTAAAAATTCTCTAAATTCCATATCACCTAAATTCCACATCACCACTTACTCTGTAATGCCCCAAAATATGATAAGGGCATGGTTGCTTGCTTTTCTCCTAAATGGACAAAGTCTCAGTTGCCTTTAAAAATACAGCACACCAAAGTCTTATTTTTAGCATCTCAGTCACAAGACACCTTTCCTGTTTACTGTGATTGAGAAGCTCTAGGTGCCTCATTATAAAAATGTTCACCATTGTTCTATCTGTTGCCATTAAATACTGTTTTGGCGACCCCTAGTGTGAAACATTATTTCAACACCTGGACATATTGAAAGCCCTTTTAACACTTGCTTACAGGCAGAAATGTTATCTAAAATAACATTTCTTGGTGTTATCTAAAATAACACCAAGGTAAATGTGATTTTATTAATTTCTATTTAAAGTTCATGTCTTTCTTAGATCATAATAAAATTTGAAT